CTCTGCTCTGCTCTCAATGAAGTCAGGACCCAGGGGCAGACTGACCATTTGGAAACTCGGGCACTGCCCGAGGTGCCCGGGGTCAGTAGGGGGCCCCATGAGATGCCCCTGGTACCTTTTTCATAGGCTTTTTTGAGTTTGGGCAAGGACACAGGGGCCCCATGATCCCCTATTGCCCGGGGGCCCCATGAGTTGTCAGTCCACCCCTGTCAGGACCTGTAAGAAATGCTATATGCAGCCCTTTGGAGACATTGGGGGCTGCATTTGAGGCCCCTTGCCTTGAAATTTGGTAACCACTGTCTGGATCTAATGGATGACGTATTTATTTCTTGTACTTATATAGTGCTGTCAATTTATGCAGTGCTTTACATATATATTGTACATTCACATCAGTCCCTAACCCTCAAGGGGCGTGCAATCTGAGGTCCCTAACTTAAATTCATACATACACATACTAGGGACAATTTAGTCAGCATCCAATTAACCTAACAGCATGTCTTTGGAGTGTGGGAGGAAACTGGAGTAACCAGAGGAAACCCAAGCAGGCAGAGAGAGAACATGCAAACTCCAGGTAGGTGGTGCCATGGTTGGAATTTGAAACAACGACCCTAGTGCTGCCAGTCGGAAATTGTAAGAGGCCTCACATATATAAACACTCTTTACATCTGTGACCTGTTAGATTGTTTTTGGCACCACTCAGAGTAGAGGTAAAAGCATGTTCCTGTGTCCCAGAACATGGGGTGCAGGCTTTTCCTAAGACAAATCCAGGGGGCTAGTAAAGAGCAGGGGCGGACTGACCATTTGGAAACTCGGGCACTGCCCGAGGGCCCGGGGTCAGTAAGGGGCCCTATCAGATGCCCCTGGTACCTTTTTCATGGTTTTTTTTTAGTTTGGGCAAGGACACAGGGGCCCCATGATCCCCTATTGCCCGGGGGCCCCATGAGTTATCAGTCCACCCCTGGTAAAGAGTAAAGGACCGCCACTACTCCTGAACAGCCCAGGTGAATAAACAATAAAGAATGACCTCAACCTACATGGCTCCACCACACCATACACCTTGATGTATTTTACTCTGCCCACTAGGGGCTTAGTCATATGACTAAGCGCTGGTGGGCAGGGCAAAATGCATCAGAGTTTACATCTGTGATTGTTGTGATTGGTCATCACAGTGATCACGTGGTACAGGGACACTCAGATTGGCTCCATACACAGTGCCTGTGAACCAAGTCACCCAAGGGCTTTTTTGCTACATGCCCACTACTCCACTGGTTTGTTTGTTTTTATGTGACTACATTATTGGTTAATTTAATAACACAACATTTTCACAAAGATTCAGATGCAAGAAAGCATAAGCAATGCAGATTCTGATCTGAACTGTATTAGCTGGTTATTTGCTGTTGGAATGGGCAGCACAATGGCTTAAGCTGCCCATTAATGGGTGAATTTCAATCAATCTACTGCCTTTCCTTATCATTAGAAGTCAATCTAATGATAGACTTCTTGCAAATGGGAATGGTGGAAAATGTTTCTTGATCAGCCAGCTGCAGCTGCTGATCAGTGTATTCTGATAGCAGAGGAGTCCTGCTGTCAGAATACAATGGCATTGCTGGGAGGATTCCTCCATGCTCTCCACTTGTTTGGATGGGGAATCTATAAATTTTTTTTTTAATCAGCCAGCTGGCTGATCAAAACAAAATTAATAATCTATGGACAGTCTTAATAACTAGCACTTATGCCTTGCAGCAATAGGGTTCTTGGTTTGAATCTCAGTCAGAACACTATCTGCATGGAATTTGTTTTCACGTTCACCCCCACACACACACACTTAAAAGATGTACGATGTGATATCAAAAAGTTTCAAGACTTGTTTTCGGTAACATGCCAACAGATGGCAGCACAGTCACATGGAGCACGGACCTTCAGAAGTCAGTGTGCCAAAAGACATCGTCCTGTGTACATTGGGAGCTGTGCAACTGGTACTATTCTGACCATGTGTGTTACCAAGTCTGCTAATACATCATGAACAGCAAGTTAGAACAAAGAGCAAATGTGAAATTCTGTGTGAAACTGGGCAAATCTGCCACAGGGACATTTGACATGATTCGGCAAGTTTCCAGAGATGCTACGATGAGTTGTTCGAGGTGTTCTGAGTGGCACACACACATTTCAAGAGTTGTAGAACATAACTGGAAGATGACAAGAGATCAGGAAGACCTTCAACGAGCTCATCCTTCAGAAATGCCCTCTTCCCAAAAGATGAAGATCCAACTCAAAGGTTGCCATTTTGACAACATTGTGGAGATTCAGCAATTTGCCCAGTTTCATGCAGAATTTCACATTTGCTCTTTGTTCTAACTGTTGTCCGTGATGACATAGCAAACGTGGTGACACAAGTGGTCAGAATAGCACCAGTTGCAAAGCTCCAGATGTACACAGAACAATGTCTTTTGGCACACTGACTTATGAAGGTCAGTGCTCTCTGTGACTGTGCGTGCAGCCTTCTGCTGCCATCTGTTGGAATGTTACAAAACTAGCCTCAAATCTTTTTGATACCATTTCGTATGCTGGTAAATAAAGGAGCTGCCACACGTATTATGGCATTCTGCAAGCCGGATCCAAGCCTAAAAAAATGGGAGAGTTGAAGAATGACCTAGCCACCTACCTGGCTCTGCAGTGTATCACACGGTGCTCAGAGAGCTGGCCCATACAATTGCTAGGAGCCATATATAACAGAACAGATATATACAGTACACCTACACATGTCATCACTCTAAGACAGAGGTCTCCAAACTTTCTAAACAAAGAGCCAGTTGACTGTCCTTCAGACTTTAGGGGGCCAGACTGTGGCCAGTGGAAGTAGAAATTGTCCTGGTATCAGTGGGAGTAAACAATGCTTCTTTGGTATTAGGGGGAGGAAAAGCACCCCGTCATTGGTGTCAGTGGGAGGAATAGTGTCCTATGCTTGGGAATAGTGGAAGCAATAGTGCTCCATTGTTTCTGTCAGCGGGAACAATAGTGTATCATTACTGGTGTCAGTGGAAGGAATAGTGCCTCATCAATGGTGTCCGTGGAAGGAATAGTGCCCCATCATTGGTGTCAGTGGGAGGAATAGTGCTCCATCATTGGTATCAGTAGGAGGAATTGTGTTCTTTCACTGATGTCAGTAGGAAGAATAGTGTCCTATGCTTTGTAATAGTGGGAAGAATAGTGTCCCATCATTGGTGTCAGTGGGAGGATTAGGGCTCCATCATTGGTATCAGTAGGAGGAATTGTGTTCTTTCACTGGTGTCAGTAGGAGGAATAGTGTCCTATGCTTGGTAATAGTGGGAGGAATAGTGTCCCATCATTGGTGTCAGTGGGAGGATTAGTGCTCTATCGTTGGTATCAGTAGGAGGAATTGTGTCCTTTCACTGATGTCTGTCGGAGGAATAGTGTCCTATGCTTGGTAGTAGTGGGAGGAATAGTGTCCCATTTTTGGTGTCAGTTTGAGGAATAGTGCCCTATCATTGGTGTCAGTGGGAGGAATAGTGCCCCATCATTGGTGTCAATAGTTGAAATAGTGCCTCATTGTTGATTGTCAGTAGTAGGAATTATGCCCCATTGCTGGTGTCAGTGGGAGCTATAGTGTCTTGTATCTGTGGTAGAAGAAGTGCCCTAAGGGCCGGATAAAGGCAAGCAAAGGGCTGCATCTGGCCCCCGGGCTGCAGTTCAGAGACCACTGCTCTAAGACATTTAGCATGCATGTGTTGTAATGAAATACACATTTTGAAACCAGAAGAAAAAACTGCAGTCACTGACGGTTTTGGCACTCATATCATAACCCGAGCTCTTACTCAAATTGCTCACTACAATACCAAGAGCTCCAAAGTCCATATGTAGAACAAATAGGGGATTAAGACTCAAATATATCAAAGTGTGTGTTTGATGTGTGGTTTGTAGTTAGTTAACAGTGTTTCTACTTGCTGCTGTATGATGGTTGGCGAGGGGCAGTGCTCTGAATCCTGATTGGTGGCTCCGTTTGTGAATGCACTGCTTTGTCCTCTGTATCAGTCTCCACCACCCTAATGTTACAGGTCTAAAGTTAGGAAGAAGTGAGATTCAAAGTGCTATTGAATGGAATAGAAGGGCCCTTTTTCATTCTAAATGAATTAATTCATATCATTGCTTTCCCCCCTCCCCACCCCCTTCACTGAAAAGCGTATTTTTTACAAACATACGTATAAAGCGGCTCAGCTTCTCCAGTGAATAATCCAAGCACCAGCAATGGAACTTTAATGTTTTTCAGCCTGCGATACAACAATGATACTGATATACATATGGTTTTCATTACATTTGTTTTTTAATTTTATATTAATCCTGTGGCTTCACTGCACAGTCCGTTTGTTTAAAGTAGTGGCTGGAATCTCATGGCTGAGTGTATTTATTAGGAGAGCTCTGGTTCTGAAAAAAAAAAAAAGTTAGCCTTTATTTTTTTTAATGATTAAAGCCAGGAAGTTCTTTGACCTGTGCTTTAAAATAAAGTTTCCCCGGTCATAAGTGATGGGAATAAAGTCAGATTGCTGTGTATATTATTGCGAAACAACGTGATAATGTTTGCAGTAACAAGCTTCTGTTGAGTAACTCAGGCCTTTAATATCTGTTGCACTACTGCTTGGCAGTTGTTTGGAAACTGTTTCAAATTATTTTGTTGCTTTTGCAATTTTTAGACATTTTCAGAGTTGAAGGAATTGTAAGAAATGCATGCTATGAGTTTCAGTAATATGTTGCAGATTATTAAATGCTTCCCAACCGCCCTATAGCAGATATACTGCTGCAGGGCGGCACGGGTGTGCGCAAAATCACACACACATATATATATATATATACGTGATTTAGCATTTCTGGGTAGGGGGAGCGTGCAGGCCCTACCTGCGGTGCCATTTGTGGCCGCGGCTGTCAATCACCGGGTCCAAGGAGCATTACCGACAGAGAGAACTGTATGTAAACAATAGAAGAGTCATGCAAAGCAGTGTGCTTTCAGTGAAGCACACACTAAAACAGCACACGGCACACAGCTAACCCTTTGATCACCCCACATGTTAACCCCTTCCTGCCCAGTGCCATTAGTACAGTGCCAGTGCTTTTTATTATCACTGATCACTGTATTGGTGTCACTGGAGATGTCAGTGACACCAAGTCAGTTCCCTCTAGTGTCAGAATGCCCGCCGCAGTCCCGCTATAAGTCACCAATCGCCGCCAATACAGGTAAAAATAAAATAAAATCCCTTTCACGTAAACCAGGCATGTCCAAAGTCCGGCCCGCGGGCCATTTACGGCCCGGGGGTCGGTTTAATATGGCCCTCCAACAGCCCTCCCTGCTCTGTGTAATGTGGCCCTCCCACGGCCCTCCCTTCTATGGCAGACAGTCTTCTGCTTGAGAGCAGAGGGCAGTGTGCATGCCTGACTGCGGCGCATTCTCCCTGGTCTGTGTAAATGCGGCTGTCGCACGGCCCTTTCTTCTGTGGCAGACAGTCTTCTGCTTGAGAGTAGTGCGCATGCGTGACTGCGCCGCGCTGGGAGCGACAGAGGGCGGTGACGTCAGGGCCGGGCTTCCAGCGTGAAGTGTGTTTCTCTTCCCCTCCCGGCTGCCGAGCAGAGACTTCAGCTCCAGCTACCTTTTTTACCCTTCACATTAGTACAGGTAAGTTTTTTTTACTTTATTTTCAATACATTGTGAAAACTCAGCTGTCAGTTGATCTTAATGTTATGAAATGAAAAGTATGTAGTTTGCAATTAACTTGGCATAAAATAATTTATTTGCATTTAATTGTAATGGTTCAAAGAATGTTCGGAAAAATGTTCGGCCCTCCACCATGTTCACTTCATCCAATCTGGCCCTCTTTGAAAAAAGTTTGGGCACCCCTGACGTAAACCAATTCATTTACACGTATTGGGTTTTTTTTTTTAGCAGAATACATTTTGACCTAAATTTATGAGGAAATTTGATTTTTAAAATTTTTTCACTGGACATGTGTAGTAGCAAAAAGTCAAAAGTATTGTTTTTTTTCTCAAAATTGTCACTTTTTTTATAGTGCAAAAAATAAAAAACGCACGGGTGATCAAATACTACCGAAAGAAAGCTCAATTAATTGGAAAAATGGATGTAAATTCCATCTGGGTGCAGTGTTGCATGTAACGCAAAAAATGGTCTGGTCAGGAAGGGGGGTAAATCCTCTGGAGGGCAAGTGGTTAAAGATGAAATAAATAGTCTAGTACCTGGAGGCACCTGCATATACCTGTGGCCACCACAAGGACGCATAGGGGGAGATTTACTAAAACTGGGGCAGCTGTGCATAATAACCAATCAGCTTTTAACTTCAGCTTGTTTAGTTACCCTAGGTTTAAACTTTACACCTAAGCATTTTCTGCAGCATTTTGCAGAAATGCAGTACAGTCCATATAACATGATTTCCTATGAGACATGTTCACATCTGTGTGCAGGGGCGGACTTACAACTCATGGGGCCCTTGGGCAACAGGGGATCATGGGGCCCCTGTGTCCTCACCCACACTCAAACCACACCCAAAAAAGCCTATGAAAGGTACCAGGGGCATCTCATGGGGCCCCTTACTGACCCCGGGCCCTCAGGCTGTGCCCGAGTTTCCGAATGGTCAGTCCGCCCCTGTCTGTGTGTTTTCACCAGGTGCATTTTTTTGGAAAGGGTCAGAGACTTTTTTGAATGCAAAAAGTTGTGTTTTTGGTTCTATTGACTTCAACGGAAACGCTGCAGAAAAGCATGTATTACATTTTTTAATGTGTTTTTGCAGCCTCTTTGATGCGTTTTGCATTTTAAATTTGCATAGCAACAAGAAAAAAACAAACAAAAAAACTAAATCTAAAACGCATCAAAAACACGTAAAAAACGCAGGTGCAAAACACAACACAAAACGCAATGCAGAAATGGCTCAAACACAACCTGCATAGGTGTAAACCTAGCATTAGACTTGGTTCACACTAGTGTGACCCCATTGTTGTGTGACCTCCAGTGCGACATGCTTGTGACTTTCATTCAACGTGAGAGCTTATGGGACTCTAAATGGCATCAAAGTAGTGCAGGAACCCTTTTTTGAAGACGCTGAGACTTGAGTCACATAGGCTGGATAGGGTGCCATCAGGGCCGCTGTTAGATATCATGGGGCCCCGTACAGCCCACTGTCAGAGAAAATCTCAAAATTATATTTATGGTAAAAGATACACTAAAAATGTTATTAATGGACACAATCCCACAAAATTACTATTAAATCTAAATGATAAAACTGTACTGAGTTAATAAATAAAGCTGTGGGTGTAATTGAGGTCTTGGGGCTCATTCACATGGATGCTGTGGTCTGTAGAGTGTGAATCAGTGGTTTGTTTGTGTGGCTGGAGCCACTTGGAGCCGTTTGCAGGTAACCTATGTTACACTATGGAAACACTGCAGGTCCTAATTTGACAGGCATATGGGTGCAGGTGTACAGCCCTTAAAAACAGACAGTGAGCATTCAGGGCCACTTCCCAGCACCTGCACACCTGTCAGATTGAAACCTGTGTTCATACAGCTGTTGTGTCCTCATAGCCATAGCGTAACAGGTGGCTCTGGCCACATGAACAGCCCACTCATTCATGCTGTACAGGCCAAAGGACCTGTGTGAATGTGGCATGTTGACAATTATTTTCTCAGCCCATTCATTTCAATGTGCTGCCTAACATGTGGGAACATGAAAAAATACTGCAGGCATATTATTTTAAATGTGTGTTGCACCTAACCGCACAGTAGTGTGGTAACATGCGTTTTGGTGGCTGTGAATGCATCTGTGTTTACTAGATGTGTGGAGGTGCAATTAAGTATTCATGGTACCTGCACATATCTGCAAAGGGCATTGCTTTTCTTTGTTGTACAGAAAAAATGCGTGCTCTTGCATGCATTTCTGCACTACAAATGGTGTGAACAAGTCCTAAGGGTCGGTTCACACTAAAGAAACACAGTCTAGATGAGTTCTGGTGTTGTGATGTGTTTTTGCATACAAGTTTTTAGCACGTTCCTGTGCATTTTTATGCATTTTTTATGCGTTTCAGTGCATTTTTATGCATTCCAGTTAATTTTTCCCTATCTTTTTGTTAAATTTAATTAGGGGTATGTGCGTTCCAGTGCGTTTTTTGGTACACTTTCGTGTGTTTTTGATGCGTTTTACCATGTTACAGTACAGTTCTGTGCATAAAAAAATGCAGCATGGTCTACTTTTTTTCAGCAACTGGAACGCACCAGATTTGCAAGCACTGATGTGAACTATGACATTGACAACCATATCACCTACTTTCTGTGCATTTTGGATGCAGAAAAAAAGCAACTCAAAACGCATGTAGTGTGAACTGGCCCTGAGGGCTGGTCCACACTATAGAAACGCAATCCAGATGCGTTCCATATGCATTTTTGCATGCACATTTTTGGCACTTTCTGGTGCATTTTTTATGTGTTTTTGTCATGTTCCAGAGCGTTTTTTATGCATCGCAGTTAATTTTTCCCCTCTCTATTTCTTCAATTTAAATAGGGACACGTGCATTCCAGTGTGTTTTTGGTGCGTTCCAGTGCATTTCAGTGCATTTTACTGCATTCCAGTACAGTTCTGTGAACGAAAAATGCAGCATGCTCTACTTTTTTTTTTCTGCAACGCACTGGAACTTCAAGCACTGATGTGAACTATGACATTGACAACCAAATCCACTACTTTCTGTGCCTTTTGGATGCAGAAAAGAAGCAACTGAATGCATGTAATGTGAACTGGCTGGCCCTCAAGGTAATTATAGGTACGGAAATGGGACTGACCAGGAATTGTGAGATACAATCAGGAATCATATATTAATGCTAGATTTGAGCTGTAGGTGATAGGAAATGGGACACATTAACTAGATCAGTAAATAAATAGTTAAATAAAAAGAGTTGAGCAGTGATATATAGGTTTGCAGAGGGAACATATGATGGCAGTGGGGGGGTCAAGTTGTATAAGGAGAGAGAGGTTTGTAGCAGTGAACAAAAAGGGATCAGCAGTCTGGGGGAGAGAAACAAAGTTGCAATCAAATGTAAACAGAAAGAAACTTGAAAGTGTCAAACTTGTGGAGCAGAGTAGCTAACATTCCCAACACTGAGCCCTGTGTGAGAGGATGACAGGAGGCTAACAATGGAATTTAGCAGCTGCAGATGGGCTTATCAACTGCCCCTGGCCCCCTTCTGCAGCTGATAGAGCCGGGCCCACTACAGGAGGGCCGAAGGTACCCCCTTATCAGCAGCCCTGGGTGCCATAGAAATAAATTGGTTTTGACTTGTCATGTGACTTTATGCGTTGCAAGGGAAAATGTCACCAGCACACCGAGGATCACCAATATGGGTCCAAAAGTTTTAATGAACGATCACATAGTTACAGCAAGGAAACGTTTCAGAGTCTCACAGGACCCCTTCATCAGGCATGTGACTTGCATTGCAAGTCGCACTAGTGTGAACCGAGCCCTAAGCTTTGACAATAAAACTAGAAACTGATTGGTTACTATGCACAGCTGCATCAAATTATGTGTGCTTCAGTTTTGGTAAGTCTCCCCCCAAGAAAACAATTGTTTCCTATGTGTCCTATTCACACCAACTGGAAATACTGGTGTCATGTGTAGTGTGGTGGATCCCATTAAAAATGCTACATTTATACATGTTAACACAACACAATGTATGTAAATGAATGTAATTGCATTTAAATGCACAGCAATGTAATGCAAATCTATTGGAAAAAAAAAAATGTTTTTAAAATTTTGTCCCTTGCAAGGATCCATAGCAATTTAATGTGCATAAAAGCCTGTGTCAACACACATGAACGTGCGTCAAAGAAGGCAATGCACATTCATTTTTTTTAATTCATTTTAATGCATGTTTATGTGTGAACAGGCCCTTAAATTTTGCTGTTGCAGTCAAAAGCAAAGGCCATCCTTGCAATTCTGATTACACAGACACACAGAAAATTCCAACAGACCTTCTAAGCATTCCTAAAGGTGGGCATACATGATTAGAAAATTGACCGATCGGTCATCCGACTACCAAGAGGCGTTCGTTCGTTGGTCAAAATTGTGGCCCACATTAACCAATCTAAAAAAATTGTTCATCAGGCAATACGTAGTGTTGATGTCTGCTGTACAAGTGGAAGTGATGCAGTGTGCGTGTGACCT